CTTTGAAAGCCATTAGAGAGATGAGTAGACGCATTTGAATTAGTAGTATACCAAGGTATCCAGTGATGTAATTTTACCCACAAACGGACTTGAAGTTTTTGAGCTAATTTTTTTTAAACCTCTTTTGTCCAAAAAAGCATATTTTTGACCCAAAATAAAAATCTCATTCTGGATATTTAAAATAAAGACAAGTTTTACAAAGTTTGTATAATAAGCTTTCAGAAAATATATAACATGCTGGATATATAATACCATCTTCATTGTTTAATTACTCAATTAAAAAGCAAGCCAAATAAACTGCATCTCTACCTTAATGTAATGAAAATGCAGGGGTTACATAACAGTAGTCACAGGAAATTAACTTTTTTTTCTTCAGATTATCTGATACGTCACAGCGTCATCTCTACCGCAAAGCATCAGAGCAGCCTGCAGTGGATTTGATTAACGCTTACACTAAACTATACACTGAATCGCGACAAGATGCTTTGGATGTGCTGGATGTCATGTCCGACTTGAATCAATTTGATGACAGATGATATCAAATCAAAGCTTTTATTTTCTGTCATTGTGGTAGGTTGATGACATGATACATGACATGTACGCTGTGCGGCTACTGAATATACTGAATTCTCGCTTTTCATGAATTTTTTTCGACATGAACGCTATGAATTTGTCAAATCACAAAAAATCCTAGCAAAGAATTCAACTGCTCACAGTAATATTTGTTTTACAGTTCTGTTCACCGATTAATTCTGAAATACTCAGTGTATTATTCCTGAACAAATCCAATGTTATTGCAATGAACCGCATGAGGTTGAGATTTTTGTAATTTGTTTTTGATAAGCTTGTACTGTGGGATTCACAGTATTGAATGTATCCAATACGCATGTATGCTGTATACATAGCAGCTAATTTGAAAGAAAACCAATCATGTTCAGGTATATTCAACAATGAGCCATCACAGTTATTGTCTACATTTGTCACATTTTACAAAAACACACTATTGTCTAGTTATTGAAAAGAACCATGCACTTTTAACACTTCGGTCATTAAAATATTCACAGCTATGACATTTCTTTCTATGTGTGATGCACTGTGACTACAAAATAATAACGTGTTCAACACCGTAAAAATGTGTCAATTTTTAAGGAAATTTTATTTTATTTTACTCATAATATGAACAATGTATTTACCTGCAGTGTGACACAAATCCTTAATGTCAAAACATCAATACACCAAACTCGGTGAAGAGCAATTGTTGATGTGTTGTTGTATTTAATTTTGATTTGTTGTTGTATTTAAAAATAATCACCAATAAAAACTTTCCCTGCAGTTTAAAAGTTACACAAAATCAGATATCAGATAAAAAGTGCTTGTGCTCATTTTTTGGTATGATTTTGACAAAAAAAGTTATTAAAATGAGAACCATTTCATGAAGAAAAATCAATTAATACCTAGTTGCAGCTTTCTGAATATAAATATAACATATGTTAAATGTTAAATTTCCAGACCATAATTTGCATATTGTCTTACATCCTATTGTAACTTCTAGCAAGTTACTGTATAATGAATGCCATGACAAATGTTCATGTGTCTAAAGAATGTCTCCAGTTTTGTTTACATATGACTTGTGTATTGTATGCAAATTATAGGATATGCAAATTATAAGATATGCAAATTCAAGTTATGTAAATTACAAGGTATGCAAATTCAAGGTATGCAAATTACGAGGTATGCAAACTACAGGGTATGCAAATTATAGGGTATGCAAATTACAAGGTATGCAAATTCAAGGTATGCAAATTACAAGGTATGCAAATTTAAGGTATGCAAATTATAGGGTATGCAAATTACAAGGTATGAAAATTATTTTTTTTGCTTGTGTTTATTTTTTCAGCTTGCATTTCGTTTTTCTCAAAATGAAATTGAGGAAATGATGTCCAAAGTTATTGAAGCTGTCAACATACCTAATACAGGAGTTAGTGCACAGATAAGTA